TATGGTGTCTTACCTCCGGTTTCTATGAAAACATAATAGGCTTATTTTTTTTTCAATGGTGTTCTGAATTATTCTATTATCCAATGGATCATCCTCTGAAATATGATTTCACAAATATCATTCTCTAAAATATGCTTTCGAAACATAACATATTTGGATCATCTTTGGTATAAGCACGAGGACTCACCGTCTTCTCTCATGTTAATTATAGCAGTATACTTTCTCGAGAAGTTCACTCCCGCGCAGGACGCGGGTCTTGCCTAGTAAATAAATAAGTGTAATGCTCAAACTAAATCAGAGCTAAACTCGTGTAATAAAAGTTTGTATCATAAATAAAATAAGGGCTTTCATAGTTTTCAATATTTGTTTTAATCTTCATTAACCTGCTGAACAAGATCGATACAATTCTTCTTATATACACAACAACTAAACCATAACCTTAACCAAGTAAACCAATCTATATACTCTAATATTAGTTATGAATTTTGGCAGTCTGTTATATGAAACACGATGACTACAAGGTGAGCATTTTGATTTCAGCAAATATATCGAAATCTAACAACTTTGCAAATAATTTTCATTATTTGTTTTTTTTTTTAAATTATATTTAAAAAAAAAAAGTTAAATAAATAATGGTGTCAGAAGTGGGATTTGAACCCACGCCCTCTTTCGAAGACCAGAACTTGAGTCTGGCGCCTTAGACCACTCGGCCATCCTGACTTTATGAATAGATAGAACATAATATTATTAATAACCCATTAATAATACGATATATTTGCTTTGAGTTTACATATTACTCAGATCTAGCTCTCTCTCTCTCTCGTCGTTGACCAGAAACACAAAACTCTCTCTTCCTGTCTTCGTCTCTCCCACAGACAAACAGATGGAAGAATCCACGCATCCCTACATTCCCAGAGATCTGAAACTGCCCGGATATGTTCCTGTCTCCATGTCCATGTCCTCCATTCTCACCATCTACCTCAGTGCTTCCCTCTTCGTCGTCTCCGTCGTCTGGTTTCTCTTCGGTAAATCCATCATTCCCTTCTCTACCAAATCATCGAATTTTAAGGTCAATTGAACAAAATTAAGAGTAATTTAGACTCTGATTAGACTGTGAGAGTTGACCCCAAATCAGATAATTGGTTTCAATTCGGTGACAGGGAGGAAGAACACGAAGCTTGACAAGTTGCTAATGTGTTGGTGGGCTTTCACTGGTCTCACTCACATGATTCTTGAAGGCTATTTCGTTTTCTCCCCTGAGTTTTACAAGAACAACACTTCTTGTTATCTCGCTGAAGTCTGTAAGTCGTCACTAAACTTCGAGTTCTTGTTTGTTCAATTAGACTTATAAAGATCAAGTTTT